ATCAGTATAGGTAGTATAAACACGGACATACAGTACACCGGTCACAACATGCCTCTTCTCGATGAGCTTCCATAAAAAACGAGGCTCCTGAAAAGTCTTCAACTCTTTACTCCGTGTTGGGCTATGATAACGCCAACTTTCAATTTCATCCTCGAACCTACGCTCTACCTACGCTCTGTCTACCCACACGCATCTGCGAATGCATCCTTGTAAGGTGACTCGGCCATCTACCTATGTAAGTACCTATCTGGAGCTAGCAGGGGGCTGCATGCCGCTAGCCGTTTTGGGAAGGAGGGCAGGGTCAAATATGAAGCTTTGGCAGGGTGAAATAAGGTCTCCCCATAGGTAGGTGGTTTCTTTCCTTTTGTGCGGCACGAACTCCGTTAAGACCGTGGGTACCTAGGTACCTATCTGTACGTTGCATATCTGCCTACCTAATGCACAGAGTAAATACAACGTTTATACGTGTGGAAGGGCGGCTGTTATCATTTACATATGTACCTATATATACCGTGACATGTCTACGGAATAAGAGCTGTAGTGGAGCCAGCAAAGCCTCCCAAAATCCTGATGTTACGGCTGCAATCTTTCAATTCCTCCACGCGCCTCTCCATATCATCAGTCAACACCGTCAGCAGCGGTACAGATTCTCATCAAACAACATCACGAAATCGAAGATTCAAAGCCTTCAAGCTGTCATTACACCGGAAGGATGTATTCGCACGCCCCTTTCGAGTACTTTCGCACCGGCACAACCCATATATATCCCTCCCTAAAGCGCTGACGAGCACCCTGAACGAGGTCAAATCGATGGTCTACCTTCATCTATGCAATTTGGCACTTTCGACGAGCTCTTTACAATTTTGCTACGTTGGCACCACCGGAACGACCTGGTATCTTTTAAGGAAGCCTGCACCGATTGTCACGAGATTGACGGGCAGCCCAGCATAATGTAGGAAATTCGGGTGTGCATCACCTGTTTCACCGGCATTGTCGATTGACTTGCCATTTGCCTGAAAGGGCAATAGGTTGGTTGGTGCGTATTGAAAAACAAGTATGCCTCTAGGGTATTTTTTACGAGATACAAGAGCGTGCGATGCATGGTCGAGCCATATTACTATTTCAACAGCTCTCCCTCCCTGTACTATCTGCGCCCTGCCCTCGTTAGGGCCCAACTCTTCACGGTTCTTTATACGGTTACGGTACGGGCACTTCTTCGAGTGGGCAGCTGGGGAGCATTCTCTCAATGATCCATGCGATTGCCTGGGCGAGTGAGGATCTCGCGGATTCCAATGAATCCATGCATCAAGATGTACACTGCAGCGTCATGTCAGCTACTGCATTTCGGTATATTGTCATCCACAAGCTGCCGGCCCAAAGGATCTACTTACTCATTGGAGCGAGTAACACGAATCCGATGCTATATAGTGAGACGGCCTCTTTGGATCCCACCTGTGCCTCATCCATCCAGAAAAAGGGATATTCTCCGGTCACCGACTTGCCAACGGCACCCCATGCGAGGTACGCGCCGCTTAATCCCATGAGACTGAGCATATGGGAACCGACATTCTGTACGACAAGTTAGCTTCGCATTTCCCCCGCTTGCAAGAGTTTTGGGCAGTGAACTACCAATGCGGGCTTGATGCTGTTGAAGAAAAATATCTCCACCACCATGATGAGAGAGTTGGCGGCGTGGAGGTTGATCATGATAAAAGTCTTAAACCAACCCTCTCCCAAGAGATCGCTTACTTCAACATTATCACAGTCAGCAGGCTCATCGAACTCAAGTTCAGTGGAATGTTGTCGACGAACATGGTGTACCAGACGTGGCCTTGGCAAGATTGACCGCAACCTCGGATCCAACAGCTACAGCTGCAGCGGCCGCATCGTGCTGTCGGGTGATGAGCCAGTAAATTACCGAGTTCATGAAACAAAAGACGGTTGTGGCACTGTGGAAGAGTTGGAAGTAAAATTGCTTCCGTGGACTGGCCATATTTTCAGGTAGGGACATGGCCTTGATGATGAGACGCGCAAGGCGCCCTTCTACCTCCGACGGCTCGGGGTGGTACATATGGGTATACGTCCATGCCTGCATAATCAGTACCTATCATGCTCCCTATTTCGCGCCACGCCTTGGAACGGGTTTGCTTACGAAAGTTATGAGATGATATATAAACGTCAAGGTGGAGCAGATCGTGGAAAAGTTGAAGAGGTTACTCAGACCAGTGCCCTCTTTCTCCTCCGTCATTTTGTAGTGGATCGTCATGCTTGCAGCGGCCACGAGGTATCCGAGTACAGTACCACGAGAGGCCACCAACGCTTTCTGGTCGATCCATTGCCATGCGGAGTGACTCGCTCGAAGAAACACGGGCTGCAGGCATTCATCTTGGAAATTAGCCACGGTCCCTGAGCATCACGGTGCGTGTACTGACATGGTCTTGCAGGATGACAGGGGCTGGCAGGTTTGACCCGCCGAGGAGAGGAGTGTACGACATGGCGAGAATTGATGTTGTATCGAGGACTGATATCAAGATTGTTATTGTTCAGGTGTCTAAAATAGTCGTTGAAGTTGACAATGTTCGGTGGCCAAGAACGCAGCCAGCGGACACTAGGATACAAGTGTAATATGAACGGGGCGAACGTGTGGCGATGCAAAGAATTTGAGGCTGTAGGAAGGCAAAAGTCGCGACGCGTGAGGGACGCAAAAGGTCAAGTTATCCTCCCTGGTCTTACAGTCTGGGAAGGAGGGCGCTTTGGCTACGGTCCTTCTACGTGGTCGGCGCAATTGGGAAGGAGGCGTGGTGCATTCACGCTGCATAGCAGGAGTCCAGATGCCAAATCGGCAACTTCAGTCCACCAGACAGCCCAGATACTACTCAAGAAATATGATGTATTGGTATACCGTATAACGATTGGGGTCATCCAACTTGCGTTTCGTCGATACCGACTCTAGTCCTTTTTGATGCTCTCAGCACCTTCTTGCTTCATACCCTCGCATCCCGCTAATTTGCCAGCCAGCTCCTCGGCCTTTCCATAGCCCTGGGTTGATGCGTCCCGCTTCTCTCCCGCTTCTTTCATGGCCGAAAGACCTGCTGCTTTGTCCTGCTCTCCTGATGACTTCCAGGGATTAGAGCCCGTAACATCTCCTATCGTGGCCTGCTCCAAGTCAGATTGGTCTAGGGTAGGGAGTCAAGTAAGAGATCAGAGCATGCATCTCGTCGAGGAAACGTCTCAACTTCAGGCTCGCTTACCTCTGCAACTCCTTTGACGTATTGAACGTGGCCCTGGATGAGACCGGGTTCTTGGGTATTAGAATCTGACATATTGACGAAGCGTTAACACGGTGTGTTAAATTCTCGAAACGTATAATGCGTAAGAGGTCGAAGAGTGCGAGCAATGACTAGGCACCAGAAAATCGTATTGAACTTGTGATTATGTGTAAATTCAATGCTTTCTTCTGTTGTAGAGGGCTCGCGTTTCCTTAAATATTACACCAACGCCATGCGGCGTCTTTGGCACTTGATGACATGCTTCGACCATTCCATGACATCACAAATGTGTCGTACCGTGTATGTACGTACCACGTGTGGCTGTGCCGATCCGATTTTGTGGCTGGTGCAGCTTGCAACCGATCGTTTGGCTTCCAGCAACGAGACGTGGTCAGTTCCCAAACACGCCAGGTTGTCACGGATTGAAGAGAGCTCCAAACCTCAGCTACACCACGCAGCTGCTAGCTGCCCTCTGCTTTGGCCTGCAACCACAGCTCTCGATTCTCTTGACTAAGTTCTTGTCAAAATAGCAGCCGCAATCATGTTATCCAGCCTGGGCAACCCGCGGCAAGCTGCGGTACAGCTAATGAACTTTGCGCTGATACTATCCACTGCATTTATGGTAATGTTCAGACCTCCGCATGCACCTCGTTCACATGTCGCATTCCGCCGTTGAAATACTTGGTCCTTGCTCTATATCCTCGTTGGAACGAAGAGGAACTTTCCAAGCTAATGGCTTTCAACATCATAGATGTGGAAGGGCCTTTCCGTCGCCACCGACTCGCCGTCACCGATTGTCGTCGTTCTGTCCGGGTCCATGGAGCCTGCATTCCAGCGCGGTGACCTCCTCCTACTGTGGAACCGAAACCTGCGACAAGAAACATCAGTGGGAGAAGTTGTCGTATACAATATTAAAGGAAAGGATATTCCTATCGTTCACCGAGTTGTGCGAAAGTTTGGAATTGGGTAAGTCTTTTGCCGTGGCCGCATCTCAACGGAGCGCGCTTCCGGGGAAAGTCGCAATTAGACGATGAAACGAAACTGACTGGGACACAGGGAGAAAGCTAAGCTATTGACCAAGGGCGACAACAACAATGCCGACGATACAGACTTATATGCTCGGGGCCAGGACTACTTGGAGCGCCGAGACATTATAGGAAGCGTGGTGGGCTATTTTCCGTTTGTGGGCTACGTGACCATCCTTCTGTCGGAACACCCGTGGCTGAAGACCGTGATGCTGGGCATCATGGGCTTGCTGGTCATGATCCAACGAGAATAGAGACTAGATGTGCGCTTGTCTAAGCAGCCCTGAATAATAAGTAAGAAAATACAATCACTGCGGATGATGCGCAGGCTCCTCTAGGAGCGGCTAAAAATTGGCCGGGAAGATCAAGGCTGCCCTGCCGTACATGATACAAGCTCAGTAACTTATCGAGAATCAAACTTTTGTTCAAACGGCTCGTCGCGAGTTTCTATGACCCGACCGGCGAACACGCACCTCCAGACAAATTGAAGAGCTTTATTCTTAACACGTAATTTTTGGCAGGCTAGCACAAGTCACGGGTTCGTCGCCCGGTTAGCTCAATCGGTAGAGCGTGAGACTCTTACCACAACACCGTAATCTCAAGGTTGCGGGTTCGACCCCCGCATCGGGCTTTTCCTATATAGCATGATTGAGAAGATGTTCCCTGGCATTGATTTTTTGCTCTTTCCGAGAAGACTTGAATTGTTTCGCTCTTGTGTCCCCAAATTTTGTTCAATATGTTACAACTTACAAGAATCTGCATGACTCAAAAGAGTCAACCGGGCTTCTTAACATACGGAGTACATACCTACTGGTCTTATTTTTACTTTTATAAGGCATGGATGCATTACATCTGCAGATCCTGCGGCCCCTTGCATCTGTCACCTGTGGCGTCTGGAGATATCCAGCCGTTGTACTCCGTACGGAACAAGGGAGAGCTGCAAGATGCATATGTGTAACGTCAAGCTCTTGTCAGCTTTTCGCGGCTTGGATACGTCATGCGATGGCGGTCATGACTCATGAGCAAGATGCGACGCGGCTGAAGCGAACATCGAACACGGCGGCGCGGCAGGTACGAAGCACGTACGGAGTACATACAACAGGACGCGACTCGAGTCTTGCAGTCAAATTGCAGCCGTTAGAAGCAAGTTAACTTTATGACTTTATTTAGCACAGCTGAAATGCCCTTGCACATACCATTACATACATCGACGATATGTACCAGCCTACGTATAGTATGTATACACCTACTCCGTATGTAGGTATATACCTCGAGGCTCGAGAGTCGATGGGAGTGAAACTCGGAGGACGGAGGGCCGGAAAAGGTGGAAACCCGGACAAAGGTCAAACAGGTGATACGATGGGCAAAGAACAGACTCTCGG